GTAAATAAAATACTTTTAAGTCATAGAATATATAAACTGCATATAAAATCAATACAGTAATTATATAAGAAATAGAGTGTAATAATGTGTTCACTTAAAATAGCCCAGGTAGGGGATCTTTTTGCTTATCAATTAAAATTTTACCTTTCTGGCTTAAAGAGTGTCAAAGATATCCACTTCTGACCAAGCTGGGCCTGTGGAGTGTTAAGTGCTGCTAGACTTGATGGATGACTTACACGAGACAAACCAGCTATGATTAATGTACTTGGTCCCTCCAGCTCTAGGCAGCACAAGTAGGAAACATCCTAGAAAATTAGTAACAAATGATATGTTGTTAGAACACTTTCAATTGTAGTAAAAACTGAAATAATGTTTATTGCACAAATATGTAATATTAAGTGGTAATACACAGTACTGAATCACCACCACAAAATAAACAGTATTCAGATCTTTACATAAATCAAGATATTGAACAAATACATGGCAATTAGAATTCAGATGTAACATTTTTGAAGATAACTCCTAAATTCTTTGTTTTTTTTATCAGCCTTGAATGCATAAGGTCGCTAAATATTGAATATCTAAAAATCGTGGCATCCAATTTTGGTTAGCAAGGGTTGGGTCCAATGGGAATTAAGGGGTTTGGGGAAGTGATCCCTTAGACATATCTAAAGTTCTATAGTGTACAGCTCAAGTTTGAAAATAAGTACTGTACACAGTGTATGCTATTCATGACCCCTTTTTATCAAAATGTATACAGTACAAATACTATACAGTATACTGCTCAGGTATTAAAAACCTTATAAAACATAGTGTAATGGAGCAGTCTACCCTGATGATATGCCTGGCCTTAACACTCTCCCTAGCAATGGAAATATGAGAAAGGTTTTTTATACCCTAGAAGGTTTTCATATACAAATGTAAGTATGAGCATTATAATCCACATTTCAGGCATGAAATAATATGTGTAAGGACAAATATTATACATGTGGGTTTGGTCTTGATTATGATGTTCAGGGTAGTACTGTACCTGCATTCTTGTTTACCATCGAGTCAGGCCAGTGAATACCCCTCATCACCGCCCTCATTCTGTCGTAATTGCCACTGTAATATTTGAACCTTGGCCTGCTCTTATCATTAACCAACTAACAGTTAAATCTGAAGGACAATGTCACATGATGGTCTTGTGCCAACGGGAGCTAGGTGAGGTCCAGCAGTTTGGGTGTTTGATCCCCTCTATAGTATGTCAGATCTTTAACATATTGGAAGAGAAAAGTGTCTCTCAGAATTCTACAAAAAGAGTAGCAAGATTATTAAGGTCATTTGATGTAATTTTATTCCTCCAGTCAATGTTCCCATAGTTGAAGTCCCCCATGGCAAGGAGGTGGCTAGAGTTGGGTGTCATTACATTGTCTATTAAGGCTCTTAAGTTCCCTTGGTTTAATAAGCTGCAATTCGGTGGTCTATAGATGCATCCAACAGGGAGTAAATCTCTCCCCTTCAGTTTAATTTTGCACCACTTCAATTCTTTGAGTCGACAAATAACAAAAACACAGATTGGCTTGGGAGAAGGAGAGCCTTGGGGATGTAGCTACAGGGACAGTCTAACTTGGTGACATGCCAAGTCCACACACATGTTCACTGTACACACATACATACACACCCATTTTCTTCATTTTTCTTATTTAATATCAATATGCCACCTCCGTGGATATGTAATGAAAAGTTTATATTATTATTCAATTTATATTAAACTAGTTTATATGTATCTGACTCAAATTTAATTAAATGTAAATGCAGGGATTGTTTAGTAAAGGAGCCGGCAACTTAGTTAGGCTTTAACGAGTGTTATCTGCGGCCATGGAACCTAACCCCCTATTTCTCATAAGCCTCTAGTTTTGTCAACAAAGGATTTGCAAACCATGGGGGTTTTCAGGAACCAAACCACTACAATTGGCGAGGGACTACTGTATATAAACAATCATGCACTATGTAAACCATAAAATATTACCAAAAAGTAGTAATATATGCTCAATATTCAGTGTGAGTTAGTTAATAGCCACACCTTGGTATCCATCTATAGACACCATTGAAAATGGATATTTTACTGTTTCCAGCAATTATCTCCTTACCTGAAGAAGGCAGGACTTAGCAGCTGCTCTGAGAGTTGCCCTGTAACCTTTGAATGTGGGTGTGTCTGGGAGAGCATAGCCCCATTGTCTTTTCATCTGGAAGCGCTTAGCATGCCATATGTGTGTTTCTAGCCAGACAAAGTCCTTCTGACGCCGGTTGTACTCCATCAGGAGATTGAATGGTCGTCGACGGTACTTTCTCCTGGGGCGATGACTAGGCTTAACATTAGCACCACCCTGTAAGAAAATGACAAAGACAAGTTACTTCTCATAATATGAAAACTGACACATCACATTCCAAATGCCATTTCCAACTAAGGAGAGGAGAAAGGTGCACCAAGCCTAAACCTGTTATAATATTACATCAAGGAGGAGAGGGAAGAATGGGGAGAAGGGCTGAACAAAATTGAGGAAGATGGACAACCAGGAACAAGTAGGGAGTGGGAATGTGAGGCAAGAATGGTGTCAAGTGTCAAACTTTTATTTTTGCTGAGGAGTAACACTAGCTCATGTGGGACAAGGATTTAACTAGCTTTGAGGCCTTGTTGTAGAAGGGAAGTACCAAAGAATAACACATCTTTTCTAGAAGAAAGAATAACTGAGTGGCAAAATCTAAAGGGGAAATGTGTGTATGTGTATTTATCCTTGTTTCTGGCCACAATGCATTAAAAATGGAGAAAATTCTGATCTTACACCTGAACTGTTTTCTTCATAAATGACTGAATTGATAAAAAATTAAACAAGATATTCTCTTGAGTCTTTAACTGAATGAAGTGTACTTTTAATGCACACCAAGAATGCTCAAATGCATGTGGGTGATGTGTGCCAATTTACATGTGGGTAGGTGTATGCAAGAATCTGTACCTTTGTAATTGATATCCAAATGGGGTCAGGTCACCGACCAGCATCGGGGACTCGGGGGCAAAAAAATAAATAAATAAATACAGAAATGGAACAATTAAACAAATCAAGAGTAAAAAACGATATACTGTATATGTTGTGTTGCCAAAGTAAGAGAAACAATTGAGACCCTGCAACTATGTGTAAATGAGGCAAAAAGTAAATCAGATTAGCAACCTGGGACTCGGTTATAATTTTTGTAATGCCATATGGCAGTAGGGTCTATCATTAGACAACACATTGTGCTTCCAATATCTTCCCAGATGATAGTACCTCCCTGTTTGATAACTGCCTACTACCTACGACTCTCACACAACACGGATTACAGGATGGATGGTCAAATCTTACCTCCCTTCTATGTTTTTCTTGGAGATATCTTGGTAAACGCTTGGGATTTGAAGATACTGCTCTTCTTTGCATATGCCGTGGCAAATTTTGGAAGACCCGACCTCCATGTTCACAATTTTCTGGAATATATAAAGTAATGAATATATGTAGAGTCCACCTAATTTTTTCAGATAAAAAAGGTGAGTGTCAAGTTTGAAAGCAAAATTTAAAAAATACAGATAAAACAATTAAAAAAGGCACATTACATAATACAAGAATATAAAAAAACACACTAGAAGCAGATGCTTATGCTCATCTGTTTATGGCCGAGATAAAACAGAAAGCTTAACCAACCACAATAACAGCAATATGAAAGGTGGTGACAGCAACACTCCAGTTTATTAAAAAGTAAATGAACTAAAAATAAATGTTATTACACTGCAACATGAAATAAGGTCAATGTAAAAATTTGAGGTTACTGTAATATTTGCTTGACATGGAGCAGATGATGGGCCTCAGTTGAATATAAACATGACCTATATTTTCCAGAAAATAGGTCATGGCTATCTATTTTTCAGCAAGTAACTACTTTACTGAAATTTGCTATATACCAAACCAATCATCAGATTTCAGTAGTATGTACCTCTCAATTACAAACGAATTTGGTGTATACTGAACCATTTACTTCTAAAATATCTCAAATATTTAAATACAGTATAATACTACCCTATACACTAATATAATTCTCTACAGTGACCTAGAAATACTGCAAATAAAATATACTACTAAAAAAAAAAAGGACCGGGTAGTGGGAAGTTAATTCTGTGTGGAAGACAAGGTAGGTAAGGTGGGTTGTTGGCTGTACAGAACACCTGTCTCACAAACTCTTAAGGCAACAATATGCAATTTCACCATAATTTCCATATTATTTAGGTTCATCTGGTGCCAGGTAAATAATAAATTATTGTACAATAATCAGTTTTCTTCCAAAAAGAATCCCACACTCAACCCCAGATGAGTTATTGTGTTGTATTAGATTCCTGGTGTTCTGTTTACATAGACAAACAGCTGACCAGCCAGCAGCCAGGGAAGGAGTTGTTTATATAATAATGTACAGGGGATCCCCGGATTATGAGCGGGTTCCGTTCCTAAGGACATTCGTAAGTCGGAACACATGCAATACGCATACCGTACATACAAAACAATGTTTAGGATCCCACTACAGTATATCATAGCCTAAGTCCTTATATACATGTAATATTACTTAATTTAAGACAAAAGAAGAAATAAAATGACAAAATACAGTAAACGAAAGTAAAAAATATATCATCAGGCAAATAAAATACTGTAAATTTCAAGTTTAACCCCGTTCGTATTGACGGGCATTCTTAAGTCAGGAACCTCCTGTTCTATAGAACTACTTTTTGTATAATGTCTATGTGCCATTGTATTTTTATGTATTATGTATGATATTTAGTGTTGATTAAAGTCTTATATTACCAAACTACACTTTATATGAAAAAAATCTCATATTGTAACAATTTATCTGGATTACAAATACCCGGTACCCAAATTTTTCATTTCTATACAAATCCAAAAACTTCCCTGTACTGTACTGAACTGGCTGCTTACTGTATGTACACGTGGACAAAGTTCAAACCATGATACGCGTGTCAAAAAATTTATGTACGGTAGGTGCAAAAATAATGAAACCCCCTGCACGTCTTCATTCTATAAACAACCCTACCCAGGTTCAAGAAAATTCTCTGAAAAATAAAAGGGGGAATTTGATTACACACACAGGAAATTGACTTCAATGTGAGACAGACATTAGGTGAAGCACTTGAATCCATTATGGTGTTATGCGATATGGCTGATAAAAATTCACACAAAAAGTTATGAAAAGAAGACAAAAAAGTTTAGGGATATCGGTATAAGCTATCACAAAATACCCTATGAAATATCATACAATCCTTTATACATTTCATCAAAAAAAGAATATCAGTACCTATATGAAATAATGACAACTTCAATGGTCACATACCTAACTTTGAGACAATAGATTTTATTTCTTGTATTCGAGCAGCCCCAAGAGACAAGTAGTAACCCTGCCTTGGAAGCTCCTCCATCTTGCTGCAGGCTCACCTAAAATTAAAGACATGAGAAGCCATTATTAGTCTGAAAACTCTCACCATAAACATTTTACAATGCAGTACGGTACTGTAACTTTTATTACAAGTTATTATGAATGTGTCCATAAGGAATAAATGCCACCCTGAAACCCACTGAGGAAATTTCTTTATGTAATCTTCAGAATGGAGAAATGTGTGTACTGATAGTAACTGATAAAATGGTTGGCGTACAATTAAGTTGGTGTTACCCGCTTGTCAGCATGTTTGATATAACACAAGACAGATGTACAAACACAAAGATAAACACACATACAGATGTGCTGTATAATAATGATAATGATGATAATAATAATAATAATAATAATAATGAAAGTTGAAGCATAAACTATCAATGAAGTGGGTATGAGTTGACTTGTACTCAGTGCGATAAATACTGCTGGTGTCAGGCGCTGATCCTTCCAGTGTGACAAACCTTCCCATTGTGTAAGAGGCATATGAACGAGCTTTGCCAGGAAGTTCTGTAGCACATTACCATGCAAATTTCATTTCAGTGTGACAAACCCAACATAACCTAACCTAACCAAACATAACCTAACCAAGTTGGAAGGAATATTGCAAGAAATCTCATTAATATTCATGAACTTGATGCGTATGCGTAGCGAGTTCTTCCGGAAAGTTTTGTGTGCGGAAGGTTTGTCGCACGACACCAGTTTATTCAATTTCAGTGAACAAGCGTATTAAAACTTTCACCATAATTTCCTTAAAAATATTAATTAAATCCATGGGTAAGGTATAAAAAGGATATCTATCCTCAGTGGTTGTTGGGAAAATGAATGACATAAAATTTGACAAACACTGCAGTGAGGGTAGCACTTAATGACCTCACTCGGTGAGCAGTACATTCCTGGTCGAGTACAAATAACGTGTGCAGTATCTGCACCCTCTTGTGAAAATAAATAAATAATTTAATCTACAGTGGACATTTTCCCATGACCGGCTAAGTTCCTAGAAATGCTGTATTACCGTGAGTGCGCTCTGGGTATTATCACAGTTTCAACCCCAACTCGGTTAGAGCAATTTTGTGTTACCATTAGTTATATCTCGTCAATAGGAAAACCTTTTACTTATACCACTTCCGTTGCAAATGGATATTAACCGAGATAGTAAATTCACATTAGAAATGAACGTAAATCTGCAGTCGCCGCATGTCGCCTGTTTGTTTAGAAATAACACGCCTGGTGTGACCGCAAGCAATGTGTGGTGATTAATGGCACGAAATCGTCATCTGTACCTGTAACAAGTGGGGTACCACAGGGTAGTGTATTGGGCCCGCTGTTGTTTGTTTGTTTCATAAATGATATGCCTGACGTTGTACACTCCTCCATACAAATGTTTGCCGATGATGGCAAGTTATTTCGGGAAATTAAGAACCAAGCGGACTGTGAAGAGCTGCAGAAGGACCTCTGTGGGCTCCAGGAATGGTCGAAGGAATGGCTGCTGAGATTCAATGTCACGAAGTGTAAGAGGATGCACCTGGGGCGTACCAACGGTAAGGAGGCGTATCATATGTCCCAACGGGATGAAGAAAATGTACTAGCTGAGACTGTGTGTGAGAAGGACCGAGGTGTGTATGTTGACAATGAGCTGAAGTTCTCGGGCCATTGTGAGAAGAAGGTAAATCAGGCAAATAAATTATTGGGTCTTATAAGAAGGTCGTTCAGATATCTAGACGGTCCGTCCCTCGTGACGATCTTCAGGAGTGAAGTGCTTCCCATCTGGAGTACTGTCACCCCATCTGGTCCCCGAGATATGCTAGGGACTGTCAGTTGGTTGAAAATGTTCAAAGGAGGGCCACCAAGCTGGTGCCTGCACTTCGGCATCTCAGCTACCCTGCGAGATTGGAGCGCCTGAACTTGCCTAGCTTATACTACAGACGGGCAAGGGGGACCTAGTTGAGGTTTATAAGCATCTCAGGGGGCACTACTCAGTTGAGTGTCCTTACTTGGAGCTGGCGGACGCTCGCCCCACAAGGGGTCACAGCTCAAGAGATTGAAGAAGCCGCAAGTCCAGAAAACCGTGAGGGCAAACTTTTTCGGAGTGAGGGTTGTAAACTCTTGGAACAATCTACCAGAGAGTGTTGTGACGGCACCGAGTGTGAGCTCTTTCAAGAGAAGACTTGACCAACACTGGAGCGGGTTCAGGTACATTCAGGAGCCGGTGCATGCCCAGTATTTGCCAACAGTGCGTGACAGAGATGTGACCGATCGCCCGGGCGGCTAGCGAGCCGATCTTTTGGTGAAGAATATAAATGAAAAGAGACGTGACCGATCGCCCAAGCGGCTAACAAGCCGATCAGTGGCGAAGAGGATAAAAGTTAAAAAGTACAAGGACCACTTGACCTTACTTCGACATCAGCCAAGCATGTATTCAACGTTAACAGGACCAGTGTTCAATCGAATTACTACAGGCTACCGGTAACATTCTACGACAGTAGCACGCAACAAAGATTGGTTATCAGTCCTTCAATTACTTTACTACCTAAACTAACACTTCATAGCACTTCCCAAATACCCGTCACAATATCGTTATATGTGTACAGTTATTATTATTACTCTCAATACTGGGAATTACAAGTTATTCTGGCGCACACAATTACCACAACTGCATGAGTCTTCGTCATACAACCTTACCTCTTGTCTCTTATCGATATTATACCTGTTAACACTCTTTGCACCACATGACCTCATGAAGGAATTATCCGAGCGGGCGGATCTGATCGTGTTGCGTCTCTGTAACAAAGCGTGTTCGGCATTCGGGCCTTCGATGTTGAGCGGCAGGAATTGGTCAGTGATTATTACATAAGAACATCAAGATCGTCTTAGTGATGTGAAAGTGTAAAGCGATGTAGAATTTTTAATGCTAGACACGATTGTATTTTTGAAAACTCAATTTCCACCAAGTTGGAGGTACAGCCAAGGTCAGGAGGCCTACAACCACAAAATCACTGCAGTATGACAAAGCTTTTATTATTCTTACGGAGTTGTGGTCACGGCTGTGATAAAGGCCACCCAGGGAGTGTAGTACTGTGATTTTAGGTAAATTAGTTCATAGTGTCATCAGTGACCACGGGAGAGGTTGTAAGTAACTTTAAATGAATACAAACTGGCAAGCAAGCTTGTAAGGCACCACTGCCAGCAGAGACCAAGTCGTGCCATAGGTGGCACAGAGACTTTAAATTTTATTTTATTTGTGTGCTTTCTCAAGGACTGAAACTGTGTCTATAATACACCATTCAAAGCGAGATACAGTGTACACAGTGATAGTTCATAGTGTCATCAGTGACTGCGGAAGAAGTTGTAAATAACTTAAAGTGAATACATACTGGCAAGCAAGCTGGAAAGGCACTGCTGCCAGCAGAGACCAAGTCGTGCCATAGGTGGCACAGAGACTTTAAATTTTATTTTATTTGTGTGCTTTCTCATGGATTGAATCTGTGCCTATGTTACACCATTCACAGGGAGATACAGTGTGCACAGTGATAACAGAAGACAACTCTATAGGCGAGAGGGGAGGTGGTTAAATCCAGCAGAAAGCAGCTAAGTACTGTTCTTATTTATCTTTATTTTTAAATAGGTGTAGATTCGGTTATTAATAGTTTCAGCCTCTACAACAACAACAACCATAAGTATGATATGTGATTACTGCAGGTATTGGATATGGAGGAGGGCAGCCTGACTAATGCAATTGTTTAGAAGATGCTAACTGCCGTAAAGCATGAAGGCTGGAAACATTGGTATTGCCCTGACTGCATAGTCAAGGTGAAAGAGGCGATTGTGAAGTCAAAGGAACGAGTCTCTAGGGACGAAAAATAGATGAAGCTGGAGCCCTGCTGGTTGCCAAACTAGAGCTAGTTGGGAAAAGAGATCCTTGCTAAGACTGAGGAAGTGAAATATGATAGAATGGAGGTGGTTATAAGAGGTGGAGAACAGGTTCTGTTGTTGTTAGGACTCTGAAAAAGTGTGTCGAAGAAATGAAAATTAACGGACCTACTGTTAGGGGAGAGGAGGAACACCAGGAACGGCTCCAGCGCAGGAACAATGTAATAGTTTTTGGAGTCCCAGAGAGCCAGGCGGAGGGAACTGTGAGTAAGGTAACACAGGATAAGATGCTGTTTCAAAATATTTGTACAGAGGTTCTGAAGATTCCATTAACCCCTCAGGATGAGAGGAGGCTGGGACAAAAGCAGGGGGCTAAGCCTTGCCCCCTCAGGATCACACTAGTAAGTGAGGAGGAGAAATGGCAGGTTATTCGGCAGGCAAAAAAATTAGCAAGGAGCAAGGAATCTCGGGATGTATTCATTCACCCAGATCATACGGTAATGCAGAGGGAACAGCACAAGAAGCTCCTGCAGGACTTGAAGCAGAAGAGGGAGGAGTCGAGGAGGAACGGGGACAGGTGTACATGGGTTATACTCAGGGGGAGGGTAGTGGAAGCAAGTGTGCCGACACAGGGCCAGGGGGCAGCAGTGCACCCTCCACCCACTCAACCCCCCACCCGGGAGGCGGCGCCAGCTCAGCCTACCGGACAGGAGGAGGCGAGCGCCGTGTAAACAATGACATTTCTAACCACACCCTGCAAAATACAGTGTACTTAGCAAATGCTGCAGCTTCTGAGAATGTGAGGGGAGCGGGTTTATTACTAAGAGCAGAGACGTTACCGAGAACAAATTCTGGCTTGAATGTCATGTACACTAATACTGACACATTCCTTGATAAGAAAGAGGAGTTTGAAACACTACTAAGAGTACACCAACCAGATATTGTAGGAGTTGTAGAACTGTTGTACAAGAACAGGAGAATCGACCCAGAGGAATGTGAGTTCAGTATTGCTGGATATGACTCATTTACGAACCTAACTCAAGAATCCTGCAGGAGGGGTGTGGTTATCTACGCTAGGCAAGACCTTAGAGCCAGCCAGGCGAGGGTACAGGGAGAGGATGTTTTTGAAGAGTCCAAGTGGTGTAAAATTAAATTA